AATTTTAACGCCGTGTGCAGCTAAATTGTCGATGAGCAATTCTGCGCATTGCTAAAAAAAGCATTCGTTTGTAAAGGATGCAATCGAAAACTAATCAAATATTCGATGAAGTCAGATTAGATGCAATCCATACGAGCAAACAACTGCATTCCATAGTTATCGATAACGCCTTTCAGCTTCTTCACACCTCATTTCGGCCATAATAAATTATTCGAGTTATAGAAATAATTGATCACTCAAATGTTTCAATGAACCAGAAACAAAACGAAACAATTGTAGTGACAACCAATCGAATGAAAACCTGATCGAAATTTCTCAGTGGAATCGATCTGATCATTAAGTGAACATCAAATCCGAGCCCTCTCAACAAGCCAGCACACTCTAAGCCAATATAACTGCTACCAACGACGAGTGTTTTACCAGGCTTCTTTTTCCAAGAGAACAGATCATCCGATGATATGCCATATTCTGCGCCTTTAATTGCCGGATATTTTGGCCTCAAACCAGTCGCTATAACGAATTTTTTGGCTCGCAAAACACGCTGAAATGAAACGAATTGCGATTATTTTGGTTGAGAAAATGTACATCTGAAAGGACAAAAATAATGATTCTTTAAGTATTCAAAAACAGAATTTAGGATCATGAATTGCTACACTAGAGCTTATGCAAATGCTCATTACGTGATGATCAATCACTGACTAGTCACCATTCTGACATGAGAAGACGAATGTCACGAAGAAAGTGAACGGAACAAAATTTGACTGAGCACTTGCAATTTCAGGAGAAGAAAGATTCGTAAATCAATGAATTTCGACACAGCCGATTATTACCTCGGTACCAGTTTGCTTCCGATTCACAGGCATTACTCTGATGGATGCTGAATCCAAAAAATTTGCGAAACCATGAATATACTCAACTTTTCTGAAACGCTGATTGTCAAAATTAATAAAGAAGTTTTACATGAATGAAAGAAATAATTCCTGATGAATACTAACTAAAAGCACATTTTTGCAAAATCATTTTAGTCAGTTCCATTCCACTGACGCATTTTCAGTGTTCAACTGAGGCAAACAATTGGATGCTTGGAT